TAAATTCTTGTTTGTTTTTTGTTGTTGTTGCTGATTTTTTTTTCCTTGACAAAAACATATTCTCACTAAATTATTCTTTATGGCTGTACTTTTATCAAAAGAATTGAAAAAGAATTTCAACAACAACAACAACAACAAAAAATCATTTTAGGTCAAACTATTTTATTATTATTGATCGAAAAAAAAGGTTAATTTATTTCACCGGAAATAATAATAATGATGATGATGATAATGATTTGATCTTGAAGCATAATAGCCACCGAGAAGAGAGAGAGATAAGAAAACACACAACATCGGAAAACTTTCACCTTTTTTTTCTTCTTATTCAAAAAAATATATATGTCGAAGAAGTGAAGAGAGAGAGAAAAAAAAGAGTGTGACTCTCTCTCTCTCTCTCTCTCTCTCTCTAACGAGATGATGTTCATTAACAGCAAACAAAACATATCAGATAAGGTGGTGAATGATGTTAAGATAAATTTGTTGTTGTTGTTCCGGATAGATATTTGAGGATATTTCATAATGGAATCATTAATCTTTTCATTTTTTTTTTAAATTTAATTAGAAAAAAATCTATCCGGTTTTTCATCATCAGCATATTTAGAGCATTTCATACACACACCTTTCTTGCTTCAATCAATCAATCTTTCTTTATTTTTGAATCAAACGATGAATTTAGTTCAAGTGTACAATCAAAAGGAAAACTATTAATATTATTCCATTCAAATTCATAAAGTCAGTTATGTAATGTTACAACAAAAAAGAATGTTCACAGAATATGTTCAATTAGAGAAAATCAAGGAATTTTTTCAACAAAATAAAAAAAACCTACCGTAATCATTAATTCCACCATTTTGTTGTTGTTGTTGTTGATCATTTTCTTCTTCACTTTTCAATATTTGTTGTTGTTGTTGTTGTTGTGAAATATTTTGGCTAAAATTATCATTATTATTATTGATTGTTGTCTGTTGTTGTTGTCGATCAACAACAACAATCAAATCAGATGATAATGGTGATAATGGTTCCAATGATATTGATGATGATCTTGATCTGGATGATGATGCGGATGATGATGACGCAGATGAAGATAATGATGATGATGAAAAATGATGGTTATTATTATTAAAAATTTGAATTTCAGAATTCTGAAATACTTTAGGTGCCATTTGATTTTCTATTTTTGTTGTTGTCGTTGTTGTTGTTGTTGATTGTTTTAAACTTTCTCCAGTCATTTTTATCATTAATCTTTGTTGTTGTTGTTGTTGATCAATCAATTTGGATTCTTCTTCTTGGTTTTTGGGAATTATTCCCAATGTTGTCTGGATAACCGGAATCCTTGTTGATGAGGTGTTTGTTGTTGTTGAGGCTGTTGTTGTTGTCGGTGGTGGTGGTGGCTGTATGATTTTTTCAACAACATTATCATTATTATTGATAATTACATTTGAATTAACATTCCTGGATTGTTGTTGTTGTTGTTGTTGTTGTTGTTGATCAACCGATTGTGATGTTGTTGTTATCAAAATCATTCGTATAGTCATTTGTAATTGACTTGAGGTAAGGTGAGGTTATGATGAAAACAGAAATCAAAAATTGATGATGGACAAACAAACCAAAATGGGTATTGAATGAATGAAAAATGGCAAAATTCTGTTGGCAAATTTTTCAAAGTTCAAAGTTCAGTTCAAGTTTTTGGCATTTTTTTCCAATCAATCAATCAATCAATGGAATCTATAAAAGATGAAAAAAAAACTGGATATATCATTTGCATATTCTGGATGGAGTCAATTGAATTTCAATACGAAATTCTTCTCGGGAAGATATTATTTTGACCGAGGGGTTATTTTTTACAAAACAAAAACAAAAAAACTTGATGATTGACCATTTAGGCACAAAATTTTGTCAACAAAAACAATGATCATTTGGGTTTTTACTTCTTTCTTCCTCTCTCGTTTGAATGTAGGAGTTTATCGGATATCGATGGAGGATGGTATACTTGGTAATCACATCATTAAACTGATTTGATTTGACTTGATGTTTGATGTTTGATTTTTTTTTCTATCCAAAAACAAAACAAAACAGAAAACAGCAGACGACAAATGGATGATGATACAATTTACAAATGATGATTATTATGATGATGGTTATTTATAATGATGATGGTGATGATGATGATGATGAATCCTGTCTATTTTGGAATTACAAAACAAACAGGTTAGGTTAACCAAACACATTTGATGTTTTTTTTGTGGGTTTGAAAGAATTTTTCATTGGATTATTGAATGTATGTGTGTGTCTTATATGATATCCTCATGAAACAATACTGAACTATTATGATTTCAAAGCATCATCATCATCGTAAGAACAGTCGATGATTATGATTGAATCGAAAATCCAATAGAACGCATACTCAAAACACACAGAAACACAGACAGAAAACTTTGGCACCCGAACGACACACATATATACAAGCATCAAGGGGATATATATCAAACACACACACACACTATATATAATCAACAAACAACCAGAGATTACCAGAAGAAGAAGAAGAAGAAGAAGATATCACAATATATTACACGGAACTATTGTAGGTGGGTGTGTTGTAGTGTGCCTGTATGCTAGTTGTTTGTTTGTTTGTTTGTTTGGTTGATAATGATGATGAAATTGGTTTTTATTGAAAGAAACATTGAACCTAACCTAATAAAGTATAGAGAGAGAAGAAAACACAGGAATAAAAAGCAAAGAATTTACATAATGGTGGTGATGATTGAAGATTGAAGAATTTCAAAAGAAGAATACTCTTTTTCGAATCAATGAGAATCAAATATTCGTGGATTCTTTCATTATGCGTTTTTTCAAATAACCAAATGATTCCAGGAAGATTCTTTCGCAAAAGATTCTTAATTTAAAACCAAATTATGTCCAATCCACACCACCATCATCACATCATCCGTCCAACAAAACAAATGAAATTTTCATTTTTTTGAAATAAACGCTTGCGCGTGTGTGCTTCAAACGCGTGTTTTTTTTCGGCTATTACTTTTTTGTATTTCCACAGATATCCAAATCCATGATCCAGAAACAAAAATTTTTGTTTATCCCGTCTGTTCTTATGGCTCATAACGATCCAACAACAACAAAAAAAAGGGATGATTCGAAAGAGAGTATATATACAACAATCAAAGGATAACGGAAAACAAGCAAGAGAGAATATATCTGGGGAAAATATATGGCGCCCATATAAGAAAATAGAGAAAAAAAAAATCAGAAGAAACGGAAATTTTTCATTTGGAAAAAAGAAAAATGTCGGGCATTGTTACTTTGTTTTCTGCTTTGCTTTGCTTTTCTGTGTTAGTAGTATGCTTTTTCGGTGAATGAATGAATGAAACCATCACAAAAGTTTCAACATTGAAAAAAACAAACTTTCTTTCTCTGTCTGTTCATTTGCAAAATCCAAATAGGATATAGGAAATGTTTGTTTGTTTGTTATCGAAAAAAAATTGATAACAAAATATCAAAAATTTACTTTTTTTTTCTTTGACTCTTTTTTTTGCTTAGTTTTTTTCTTAATGAAAGAAAAAAATCAAAGCGAAAAAGTGAACGACCAAGTTTGANTCGGGGGTTTTTCGTTTTTCCTCTTCAAATGATTTTGGGAAGCAAAAATTTTTTAAAAAAAAAAAAAAAAAAAATTCTTTTACTAATTTGAAACCAAATTATACAATGTCCAATCCACCGCCATCAGCCATCATCACATCATCCGTCCAACAAAACAAATAAAAATTTTTGAAATAAAATAAAATGAAACGCTTGCGCGCGTGTGTATGTGTTTCAAACGCGTGTTTTTTTTCGGCTATTGCTTTTTTGTATTTTGTTTCGCTTTCCACAGATATCCAAATCCATGATCCAGAAACAAGCAAAAAAAATTTTTTTGTTTATCCCGTCTGTTCTTATGGCTCATAACGATCCAACAAAGAAAAAAAAGGATGATTCAAAAGAGAGTATATATACAACAATCAAAGGATAACGGAAAACAAGCAAAAGAGAATATATCTGGGAAAAAAATATATGGCGCCCATATAAGAAAATAGAGAAAAAAAAATCAGAAGAAACGGAAATTTTTCATTTGGCAAAAAGAAAAAATGTCGGGCATTGTTACTTTGTTTTTTTTTTCTGTGTGTTAGTAGTATGTTTTTTCGGTGAATGAATGAATGAAACCATCACAAAAGTTTCAACATTGAAAAAAACAAACTTTCTTTCTCTGTCTGTTCATTTGCATTTTTGCAATATGAAAAAATCCAAATAGGATATAGGAAATGTTGTTTGTTTGTTTGTTATCGAAAAAAAATTGATAACAAAATATCAAAAATTTACTTTTTTTTTTCTTTGACTCTTTTTTTTGCTTAGTTTTTTTCTTAATGAAAGAAAAAAATCAAAGCGAAAAAGTGAACGACCAAGTTTGACATAGAAACACTCCAAATGCACCAAAAGGCATATCTGGAACACTGCCATCACCCATACACGTAACGTTTAAAGTAATGCATTTTTTTCTCCCCCCCCACTTTTCCATACGATCATCATCATCAATATGGTAGTTCCAAATATTGCAGCAAAACAACAGCAAAACAGAAAAATCGCAACCATTCTATGGTCGATATAAATACGAAAAAATCCATATAGCTAAAAAATGAACAGAAAGAAAGTTCATCGGCCTCAATGTGATGATGATGATAGCATCATCATTGAGTGAATGAATGATTAACAGCAGCAGCAGCAATTTTATATACAATGTGTCTTTGTGCGTATGTAATGCGTTTGAATATATGAATGAATGAATTAACCCGCTACCTACCTACCTACCTTTTTATCTATCTACCTCCATTCATTTTATCAATCCAACAAAACAAACTAAAATACATTTTGCTTTTTTGCGTTTGTAGGTTATTGTGTCGAATAAATGAATGAAGAAGCAGAATCAAAAAAAAACAAAAAAGAAGAATCCAGAATCCCGGAAGAAGAATAATTCTTTATTATTATAAAATCAGTTATAAGAGAGAGAGAAAAAAAAATTAGTTATTTGTAAATCATCAATCTAACCATGGTTTCCAAAATCCACCATGAAGTGATGGATCGGCACGATAATCACATGGTTTATTCACAGGTTTTACATATTGTTTATCGTAATATTTAAAAATATTTTTATAAATTTTATCAACTATATCCGTTCGTTTTTTAGCCAAATTTGTTAATTCACATGGATCCTGGTCGATATCATATAAACAAAATTCATTCGTTTTTGTTTTACATTCAATAAATGGATTTTGTTCCTTGCGGCAATCAACTTGATAGGTAATCGGTTTGGTTGTTAAATTTAATTCTTTCAAAATTTTAAATGTTGTTGTTTGATTATATTCGATTCCTTCGGGTGGTGATTCTGTTTGTTGACCAGGAGCTTCGTACCAATTATCAAAATGACCAACTAATTGTGTACCATTTTTTAGTTTATAATTTCGATAACGAACAGCAAAAAAATGATTTGATCGATCAATATTAAGTAATAAATGATTTCGTATTTTATAATTATCATTCTGATCACCTGAATCATTTGGATTCTTAAGCTGATTCCATTGATCCAGACCATCAATATCACCTAAATCTTTAATATTTCCACCTGATGCTGAATACAGCGTAGGCAGAATATCAGTAATATGCATTAATTGATTATATGATTGTTGTCGTTGTTGTGGTAGTAAACGAGACCAAATAAACGCTGTACCACGTACACCACCTTCCCACAGTGTATATTTACCACCTTTTAATGGCCAATTCGATCCTTGACTATTATCAATATGTACATTACCTGTAATCGAACCAATTGCACCACCATTATCCGTACTAAATACTATAATAGTATTGGATAATTGATTAGTATCATTTAATGCTTTAAATATACGGCCAATTGAATCATCCAATGCAGCAACCATACCGGCAAATCTACGTCTACGGTCATTTTTCTTAATGTATTTAAATCCGTTTTCATATCGAGGTGGTGGTTGTATTTCATCACCACGTTCAGCAGCATGTACCGATTGTTCGGCCATATAAATTAACCATGGTTTCGATTCGGGTTTATTCTGTTCATTGATTATCCGGATAACACGATCAGTATACATATCCGTTGCATATTGTCCTTGATATTTGGATAAATTAGCAACAGTATCCATTTCAAATAAATCATAACCAATAAAAAAATCACCAGATTTACGATTAAAATAATCCGAATGGCCAGTTAAATAACCAAAATATGATTGAAAACCACGACGAGTTGGTAGATATTCGGAACGAAAAAAACCTTGATGCCATTTTCCAATCAAATGTGTTTGATAACCTAATCGTTGAAAATGTTCACCCATTGTTGTATGATTTAATGGCAGACCATATGGTTGAGATGCAGCAATAACACCAACTTGCATACCAGTTCGTATTGGATTCAAACCGGTTAATAATGCTGATCTTGATGGTGAACATAATGGTGTTATATAATAATTATTTAACATTACACCACTTGATGCTAATAGATCAATATTTGGTGTTGGAATTTGTTTGGATCCATGAAAACTAACATCACCCCAGCCTATTGGAAAAATTCAAAAATTATGTTAACAGGTTAGGTTAAACAAACCAACGGAAAAAATGATTTACCCAAATCATCGGCCAAAACAATAAGAATATTTGGCTGTTTTTGATGATGGATTTTTGCTAAAATATTTTCAAATTGTAAGAAAATATTTACGAAAATAATAACAAAAAATGAAAATTTTCTATTTATCAACATCGTTGCTCGACGATTGATTAATGATTGATTTGATTTGATTAGATATTTCCAATTTCAATGATGATTTGATTTGGTTTCTGTATCCATTAACCACTCTATTTATGCGTGTGTAAGTGTGTGTATGTATGGAGATAACATTTTCAAATGTAATTTTTTTATTGGATTTAAAAATTTCAATTACCATTTTCAATTAATTACACATCATTATGGAGATTGATCAATAATAAAAAACTAACATTGAACATTTTCAATCGTTTTTTTTTCTTTTAAATGTTGCTTGGGTTCGACTAACAAAATGTTATTTCCATTGAATTTTATTGATATTTAAAAAGGTATAAAGTTTATTTGGAAATTTGATATTTTCAATTAAAATTATAAAATACTACTTCTGTTGAATTTTAATGGACAATTTTTTGAATTTTTTTTGTCCCACTATCGAAATGGGTATCGATTGTATCGTCCATCTCTTCTATCGAATAAAAATAGAAGACATGTGTGAATATTGATTGTGAACATCAAATTGGTTTAATTTTCATTACAAAAATGAATTCAAAATGGATTAAAATTCGACATTTATTTTCGTTTGTAAATCAGAATAATAATTCACAAAGATTTATTCAAAATTTATATTTATCAACAACAGCAAAAAACAACAATGATGATGATGATCCAAGGTAAGTTTGTTTGTCTGTTTTTCGATTTTTTTTCAAATTGATTGAATTGTGATTTGTTTTTTCTTTAGAATAACCGTAACAGATGATGGAAAAACTATTGTTTGTTGGCATCCTGAACAACCGTTTCCATATGAACATTCATTACCATTTGTTGTTGATCAATCAACACAGCGTTTGAATTCTTCAGCATTGAAAATTGAAATACTTGAAAAAGGTGAAAATATTTATCATAAAATGCCCATAAATCGTCTTGAAATGGAAGAATTAAGAGCTATTACCTTTACAAATAAACATAATTGGCGACGAAGGTTTGTAAAATGCTAATGTTGAATGAAACAAGCGAGGTTAATGTTTTCTTATTTTTTTTAGACGTTTCGATGGATTACAAATGAGACCAGCTCATCCAAGAAAAGGAGTTTAATTCAAGTCATTCATCATTTTTATTATTATTTAGAATAAAATATTTTTAATAATTACAAAAAAAAAATACAAATGAAATCAAAATAATGAAAAAGCAAAGTTGATTATTAATTGATTATGGTTATTTTCGATCATGATGATTACGATTCGAAGAAGAAGAATAATTAATTTCGCTACGAATTTTTCGAATTTTCGAACGTTTTTTATAATCATTATCACCACCATCATCATTAACTGGTGATAATTCATCTCGATAATGTTCTCGTTTCAAATTCTTTTCTCTTTTATCATCATTATGGTGTTTTCTTTCCTTTGATCGTTGTGGTTGTTGATGGTGATGATCATGTCTTCCCCGATCTTTATCATCATTATCATTACGATTTTGTTCTTTTAAATGATGTTTATCCACCCTGGTATCTTTTCGATGTTTTTTATGCCGTTCGGATTTTGAATCACTACGGCGATGAGAAGATTTATCGGAATTTTGTTTTTCAACAGTTCGTCGTCGTCGTCGTTGTTGGTCATCTTTTCGATGATTTTCTCTTTCATCATCATCATCATTATTTCGATGATGATGTTTCGATGAACGTTTATTATGTTTGGATTGATTTTTTCGTTTATGTTTCGATGAACGATGATTATCCGAATCTTCATCCGATGATTCTTCATCTGAATCGCTAGACGTTGATGAAGATTCATCCTCTTCGGATGACGATGATGAATCATCAGAAGAAGAAGAATCGGAACTACTGCTATCATCACTGCTACTACTGGAACTGCTGCTGCCACTACTATCACCACTTTCCTGTTTTAATTTCATTAAATTTTCTTGTAATAATGGTAGTTTTTGTGTTGCCATTGTTTTCAAATGTTCACGTAGATCATCGGTAAGACCACCAAGACCAATACTGGTAAAAAAATTTATAGCAAAACGTGTATATTGTGGATTATCACGTGGAAATAATCCTTTAAAAGCTTCATCTAATGTTGGATCTTTAATTCGTTGATTCAATCGTACTAGACCCATTGATTCGGCTAATTGTTGAAATAATATTTTAATGAATACACGACTCGATGAACTTGTATCATTTTCATTCAATTTTATATGATTCAATACTGTCCATGGTATGGAATCCGTATACAAAAGATGTGCAAATATTTTACCAACATTACGTAGTTTACATGTTTCAAAACGATGTATAGTATCATAACAATTTTTGAATATTTCAACAAATGGTTCAACAAATTCATTGTTTATCTGACAAAATCTTTGTGCTAGAAGACCGAAAAATTTTATATACGTACGTTGTTGTGCACAACAATCAACAATCATATTACATAATTCCGAATATTGTGGTGGTTTTATATCCAATTTCAATAATTTATGTGCACATTCTTCAAAATCTAATGATGATTGTATGGTTAGATAGATTGTTTTACGTAAATTAATTAAATTTGTTTCAGTATTATCGATAATAGTCGTTGAAGTAGCAGTGGTGGTTTCTTCATCATCATCGTCGTCATCTGATCCAGATTCATCATCGTCATCATTGGATCCAGAATCACCATCACCAGCATCCAAAATTGATTGTCTAATTTCTTCATATTTTGTTTCATTTAATTGAAAATCTGGATCAAATTTAAATACATTAAGTCGATCTTCAGTTTCATAATCATCTTCTAATGTCATCATATGTGTAAATTGTTCATCTTCTTCAATCAAATCCAATTCGGGCATTATTGATGGATGATCTTTATATTTATCTTTACGTATTGCATACATAACTTCGATCATATATTGTACACGTTTACACAGGTCACCATCATGAAGTATTGTACGTAAACGTTCGAAAATAGCTGCAGCACCTTTCCGTGATACATCTTCTAATTTTGCACCACATTCTTTCAAAAATGCAATAGCAACTTCAATCGAATCATTTGTTGCATTTTCCAGCAATAAAATCAAAATTTCAAGAGCTAAAATTTCATGTGCTACATTTTGGTTGATTAGATGTGCAATAAATCTTGTACTATTAATACAATTTAATTTATCATTTCGTTGAAATGAACGTCGAAATTGTACAATCAATCGTTTCAATAAAAGTTCACCAATCTTAGGAAACTGGACAAAAGAAAAGAAAATTCAATCAATGAAAAACCTTTGAAAAAATAAATAAATAAATACCTTTGTATTTGCAACAGCAATCAATGCAGCATGAACATGTGTAAATGTTGGTGATGATTGTTGTGCATGAAGTATTATACGACAAAACAATCCACGACCACGAATCAAATTAACAGCAAATAATTCTTGTACAATTGATGCAATATTTGATACATTAACTCTATTAATAAGACCGTTGATTGATTTTTTCAATGATTCCCATGCTAAACGTTGATATGCTTCACTATTTTTATCGCTAATATTCTGTTGCATTAGACGTAATTTTATCCGTGGTATATAAGCACCACCAGTTTTGCTACGAATATCTTGTCCAGGATCCATTGTTTTCGATACTGTTGTTGTTGCTGTTGTCGGCTTAGATTTTTCCGATTTATTTTCTTGATTTCTAGATTCTTCCGGTGAAGAAGCCATTATGAAAATTTATATTTTTCAAATAAAACAATCAAAATAAAATGATGAAATTCTTTGACAAATGTTTTGCTGTGTCTTTTGTTGTTGAGCCAAACCAAATGCGGCTATAACGACACAATCAACAACACGTTTTCTATATTAACACCTTGGGCATATTGAAAAATTCAAAATTTTTTTTTTTCAAAAAAGATTTTTATTGATCCAAAAAAAACAAAACAAAAATAATTTGAAAAACAAAAAGAGAAGGAGAAAAATATTAAATATTATCATACATTTTAAAATGAAAAATATAATTTTTTTTCAAGCCAAACCAAAATTATAACACACACCAAAAAATTATAGGATTTTTGAAGTGGGTAAAAAAAACCATTTAAGATTATGTATTCTACACATGTTCATCAATTTGGCATCAGAAAACAAACTCAACTGGAAAAATCTAAAAATCAAGATGATGATTTTATCATTGATGAAGAATTCGTTGCTGTACTATTATTATTATTATTTTGTTGACCATTTTGCTGAGAATTTTGTTGTTGTTGTTGTTGTTGATTTAAATTCATACCTAATAATGCTACAGCTGATGAACCTGAAGAACGATCTGATTGTAAATCGGATGATGAATTATTATGATCATTAATTTCATTAATACGTAATTTGGTAAATCTTTCATTTGAATGATGTCCACCACTAATCATAGCTTCACCACTTTTATTATCATCATTATCGCCATCATCGTCATCATCATCATCATCGGTAAATCGTTCTAATGGTGCTAGCGGTGGATTCAAACCAAGCATATTAATCGAATCAATATCATTTGTTTGATCAATTTGATCACCATCATCATTATTATCATTATCGATGAATTTTTTCGGTTTTTTCATTTGTTTCATTTGTATTAATTCTTCTTGATTATGATTTGTATTTGAAATTTTTCCATTTGTTTCCAATGATGATAATAATTTGGATGATTTATTTTTCGTTTGTTTACTTTCTTTCAATTCTTTTAACATATTCATAACACCACTTTTACGTTGTGGTTTCGACGACGAAGAAGATGATGATTTTGAAGTATTTAATTTTCCACTTGGTAATATAGGTGATGATGTTTCTTCATTAATCGAATCTAATGATTTAAATGATGGACGACCATTTTGTTTCGGATGTTGTTGTTGTAAAGAATTTTTTGAATGATGTGCTTGTTGAGCATTTAGATTAGCAGCAGCAGTAGCGGCAGCAGGTTGTCCAACCGGAACAATCGGTATATCATCAGGTAATTTTTTCGTTTTAAATGATGCATTTGTAATGGCAGTTTTACGTGATGAAACTGATGTTATTGTTGTAACATGTGCTGTGGTATTTAAACTTATTTCCGATTGATTCATACGTTTCATTTTGGCTCGATGATTTTCACGGTCACGATTAATTATTGCCTGTGTATTTTTGAATGCATTTACCATCAGGATAACATCACCATAAAATTTATAAGTAGAACGTTTACAAATTTCTTCAATCAATTCAGCGGATAAATCTTCCAAATCATTATGAAAACAAAAATAACTTGATTTCATTAATTCGGTCAGAAATTCCGATGTAAATTGAATTTGAATCGATGATTCCGGAATGATATTATCTTTGGAATTTATTCTATTTGATGATGCAGTATTATTCTGTAGAATTGATTTGATTTGTTGTTTAAGTTCATAACAATTTCGTTTCAACAGGGAACCTTGTTTTAATAAATCTAAATATAAACGTAACATTGATTGCCATGAATAATAACCACATTGTTCAATATGTTGATTATATAATTTCATTAATACAGTAAATATTGATTGTTGATTACCAGTATTTAAATGTTCCACTTCATGATATGGACCAAATATTGTTATTTTTGATTCTTGTGGATTATTTATTTTTGCTAACATTTGTTCAGTTGGTATTGAAACTTGGCCAGATGTATGTGCACTTTGTTCATGATAAATTGATGGTTTTGATAATGATATTAATCGTATATCGATTGTTTTTAAATCTCCAGTTTTTTGATTAATAATTTCAAAATTATAAATACACATTAATAGTATAGCAATGGAAGATTTTGGTTCCGAATTTGGTTGTTGTTTTTGTTGGTCATCATTATCATTCGTTGAAGCCAAACAATGCTGATGATGATAATTTTGATGATGATAACGAATATAAACAGCAATCAATGTTGGTAAAAATATTATTGTTTTTAATCGTAATTCACGATCTTGTGTTTTATAAATATTATATAGCCTTTTTGTAATTGATATGAATAACTGTGATTGGATGAAAAAATTACAAAAAAATTAAAAATTATAAGAAAAAAAAATTACAACAATAATTTACCTCAACATCACGTTCAGGATGTTCTAATAGATCAAATATTGCTTCAATAGCATGATCATCAATTTGTATAATTTTAATATTATCATCATTTGATTGAATAAAATCTTCAATTAATGTTCGTTTACGATCATTAATTGATGATGATTTTATAATATTGTTGTTGGTGGTAGTGTTGCTGTTACAATTTGTATTGATCATTATCAATCAATCAATCAAAGGCAATTTGATGACGATGGTGACTAGTAAGTTTGATTGATGCGGAATTAATTTTTTGGCTGAATTCAATGGTGAGTGAAAATTCAATTATCAAATTCCAAAGAAAAATGAGACGGCGGTTGTATTTTTACACCAGAACTATTTTTGGGAGAAAAAAACAAAGCAAAATCAGTTAATTAGCAACATCCAAAAAACAAAAAACTGGCATGAAACGAATGATGATGATGATGACGGGGAAAAAGAAACAATTTTGTCAACGACTTTTGTCAGTTTTTTTTAATTATTATTGTTGCTGGTTGCCAAAACTAACTAAATAAACAAATAGCAGTATAGCATAACTAACGGTGTGTTGTTGGTATATCATACACAAAGATGGATTGCAAGAGGATAGATTACAAAAAAACTATTTTCAGATTTTGTTTCGCTTGATCATCATTGTTATTGTCAATTATTGATGGGTAGAGGTATCTGAAAATTAATTACATAATGATTACCCAGTGATTATTGAACTCTCGATTCATATTTGATCAGAATCATCATTAAAATTATGAAAGGATGGTGTTATTAAGATCTTTTATACGATAATTATATGGCTATCAATGAGTTTTTTATTAGGTCAAATATCTTTCTCTTTATATACAAAGGACCAACGCACACGCACACGTTATATATACCAACAGAAAAAAAAACATGAGAAAACGATATATTGGAAGTAGACATACCAAAAATACCAAAAAGATTCTGGATTCTGGAATCAAATGATGTCATTTAGAAACAAAACAAAACAAAACAACAACAACAACAACAAAAAAATCAATACATATAGAATGTGTTGTTTTTGCGAGAGAGCTATATTTGTTTTTTCTTCTTTACAGAAAAATTTGTTGTTTTCGTTTTTATCTTTTGGTTTTTTTTTTTGTTTTGTTGATCGGCGATCGAATGTTTGTTTGGTTTTTTGTTTTCACCACATATAACACACACACACACCTATATACACTCAAGTGGTGTGTGTGTGTGTTTGTAAACGTTCGATTATCTTTCATGAATGATTTGATTTTTTGAACCAAAAGATGGCGTTGTTCGAATTATTATTATTCGAATTTTTCTTTTTCTTTATTTTTTGATAAAAATTTTACAATTTTTTTTTTTATAAATTTTATTTTTATTATGTTTATTAATTACTTTACAAAATTACAGAATTTACAATGAGAGAAAAAACAAACAAACAAAAAAATATCGTATGATTTACACATCTGGCACAAATATCACAAAAATTTGAAGAAAAAAAAATTTACATAATTTGATCAAAAAAGTAAAAAACCATGAATAAATTGTAAAAAAATCATTGTAATTACAATGTTCGTAAGAATTGAACAACAATAATGATGATGTTTTGATGACAAACCACTTGATGGTTGTTGTTGTTGTCCATTATTATTATTAATCATATTTACAGAATAATTTTTCAAACCAAAATGTTGATTATGTTGATCTAATGTCATAAATTTTGGTTCATCAAATGATGATGCAAATACAAATGGTAATGTACTTGCCGAACCTTTTATCATTGTATCATATAAACAAGATAAACGATAATAACCGATTAGATTTTTTTCATAACAATCTTGTAATATTATATTATCATTATTATTATCGATATTTTCGGGAATATTTTGCTGTTGAATATCATTGATATTACCAACATTCATATTACCACTATCATCTAATCGTAATTGTGATATTGATGTTAATAAATCATCATTATTTTGATTTGGATTTTGTGGATATTTTTCCAATGCTGAACGTAATCGATTAATACGACGTTGTTGATGTTTTGGTTTTGATTTTCGTAATTTTTTTGGCAATTCGGTTGTTGTCGTCGTCGTCGATGTTGTTGACGTTCGATTTCTATTTCGACCTTTTCGTCGATCTTGACGTTTCCTATTCGATGATGATAGTCGTCGTTGCTGCTGTTGCTCATTATTTACGGAAGGACCGTCACTATTTTCATGAACATCTCTTTTTTGAGTTCGACGACGTTTACGATTCGAATTCGAATCATTATCACTATCACTATAACCATCATAATCTTCACCATCATCTTCGTCGTCGTTATCATCATAATCATCTTCGTCATTATCATTATCATCAACAGCATCGTAATCATCATTATCATCTTGATCATCATCATCATCAAGATTATTTGAAAAATTTGGCAACGGCGATTCTTGTTGTTGTTGTTGTTGTCGCACAATTGTTGATGATTCCGGATTAATATCAGCCAATTTTAATTCCGATTCAATATCAATCAATTCACGATGATAACAACCAGATTTACATAATGAAATTGGATTAATTGCATCCAACACTAAATCTTGTCGTACAAGATTTGATTTTGATGTCAGAAATTTTATAACAACATTTAAAAATTTTGTATGTATAAATTGTGATATATAAACACGTGCACCAATATGTTCCAAATGAATGGTAACAACCATATCTTTCATCGATGTTGTTATATAGACTAGATTTTTAAAATTATAAATCGAACCATCGGTAAAGGTACCAGCAGGTGATGCTATTGATTCAATGGAAAGGGGAAAAAACATTTTAAAAATTGTTAATCATCATCATCATCAAATTATAAATATGAATAATTACCTTGTGCTAATGAATCAGTTTCATAAATTAATTCCTGTGTTATCATACATGAATTAAAACGTCTTATCAATACGGTTACTTTTGTTACACCGGTTGAATTGAATTGATCTGTTTTTTTTTGGTGAAGAACAATGGGTTAAAAAACGAAAGAAAATAACAATAAGTTAGAAAAAATGTCAACAAACAAACAAAGTAAGTCAGTAAATTTATCTATCTATCTTATTTATTTATCTAGGCTAAATTCTTATAAATAAAAAAATATCTATGGAAACAACCAAAGATAACCAATAAATTGTCATATGATAATTGATTGATTGAATGATTGACAACAATCATCATCATCATCATTATTATCAATCAATAACAAACACCTTGCTCCAAATGATAAAATTATTATTTTGATGATGATGATGATCTAGTTGTCAATAAAAACTAACTTTTTATCATCATAATCATTATTATTATTATTTTTATATGACAACTTGATTATTTTTCCATTATTATAAATTATTATTACTATTTTGAAAGATAAAAATCAATGATAATATCGACAACAACAGCTAATGAAATTATATATTTTTCTTAATTATTGTCTATCAGGTGTAATAAGTTTTTATTATTACTCGAGTAATAATAATTCTTTAGTAATAATAATTCTTTTTAACAAACAAAAAAAAAACTTACCAAAAATTTTTGAATTAGTAATTTGTACATCAAATAATGGATGTTCTAACATTGATCTTGTACCAAGACAATTACATGTTTGATATTTTGAATCAAATGTACGTAAATGTGGATCACCAAATATAATACATGTTAATGATGGTGTCATTGGATGTATTGGTTTATAAATTAATTCGGTTGCTAATTGTACAGTTGTTTCATTCAATCGATTATTTCGATTATTATGATTATTTATTGATTTTTCACGATATCTTTGCTGCTGATTATGTGAAAAATACATTAAATCCATGTTTGATTCTTGACGTTTATAACGTTGTTGTTGTTGTTGATAATGATGATTGATTTCATTGAAATTTTTTCGATTTAAAGGTAAACCAATTGTAAAATTATAAGCAGCTTGTAAACAATATTGAAAATATTCTGGTTTTTTATTATGATTTTTGTTATTAACAGATTTATCATTATCCAGTGATGATGATGATGATGATAATGGAACATTGACTAATGGATTTTTTCGATGATGTCCATGATGATGATGATTATGTACACCGGATTTAACTGCTTGATGATTTGATGATTCAGGTGGTGATGGTGGATACATTGAACGAATCGGTGGTCGTTGTGTTGATGATTGATGATTTGGATTTTGTAATCTATTTCGTTGTCGACGACGATTTTTATTCTGATTGTGATTTTGATTTTTATTCTGATTTTGTTTTGAATGATTATTATCAATTCTACAATTATCAATTGATTTATGATCAACAAATGAACTAATTGAATGATAATGTATTGAACCATGACATATATGTTTTAAATTATCTAAACATTGTTTTAATTGTTTAATTTTCGTACATGATAAACGATCTAATGATGTTAATGAACAATGTTTTATATTTTCTTGACAGGAATTTGTTGTTGTTGATGATAATAATGATGATGATGATAATGAAGGTGTTTGATCATTTGTCGATGATAATAATGGTTGACAATTTATACAATGATTATGACCAATGATGATTATCATCAACATCATTATAATGATGTTGAATAATTTTGAAAACATTTTCAAATATATTCGTATACGATGATTTGTTGTTGTTGATGATTTTATCGAAAAATTCATGATGATGTTGTTGTATCTGAATCGAAATTCAAATCAAAAATGATTCGGTTATCATAATGATTTCTTTTATATAACCATCCATCAGGGATTAGGAATTTTTCTTCATCATCAAAGATGAAAACTTTCTTTTTTAAAGAAGAATATCATATGCAGGTGTTCAAACATGAAGCAAAAAAAATTTCATAACAAAAAAAATGATCGCATTAAAATATATCAAGGGTATTCAAAGTTTTGTTATTTTATGATGAAGAAGATCAAGAATATACACCACCACCATAACACACAGGTGTGCATATAAAAAACGAATGTTGAAAAACACTGCAGGTATCTTTTAACTTTACATGATGATTGTCATCAAGTGTTAGTGTTGTTGTTGTTTGGTGGTCGATCGAATAAGAATGATGATCATCAAACACACCTGGACTATATGGAACAAACAATTCTCAGTAAACGAACAAGGAGAGAGAAGAAAAACGGTTAACCAGAAAAGAACTTATGTAAATAAAAGTTTTTTCATTCTTCTTTTTTCGTTTTTGGATAAAACGAAACAAAATAACAAACGAAAATTGACATTTACATTGTTGTTGAACACAAAATAAATATTTGGCAAAAAATATTTTTTTTTGAATCAAACAATTTGGCGCGAATGGATTGAGAGAGAGATGATAGAGAGAACGGGTGTGATGGATGGATTGGAATTTAATTTGAAAATTTTTTGTTGTCGAAATAGAAAATTGTGGATGAGAAAAATCAACAACAACAAATTCTCTCTTCTTTCACAAGATGATTTTTCAATGATGATGAATTTCGTAGGAAAAATCTTAATCAGAATTTATTGATTTCTGTTGTTGTTGTTTGGTTAGGCAACAGAAACAGCATACAAGAAACTGGCGAGCAAACATAGAAAATCTTAAAGATCGCTCTGATCACCACTGTTGGATAAAAATGATGGGCAAGCAAAGCAAAGCAAGTTTTCTTTTCTCGTTTGGTTCGTTCGGTTTTTCCTATTCCTCTCTCCTTGAATGACAGTTGCTGTTGTTGTTGCTGGTACGCTAGCTATTTTTTTTTATAACACAACCAACAAGTTGTTGGGTAAATTATGTGTGTACCAGAATGAGAAAAAAAGATAAAGATAGTGGTGGTGGTGGTGGTGGTTTTGTGAGTGCTTTGTATTTCTCTGTGTTAATGTTCTCTCTGTGTATAAAATGCATTTGGTTATTAACAGAACAGGGCAATGGATTTTTTTTCCCAAATATTCCTATTGTGAAAGTGTGTGTGTGTGTTGTTAGGATGAAAATTTCAATTTTGAACCGAGAAAAAAAAGCTTAATTCTGCTTGACTTTGCTTAAATTCTCGTTGTTTTAGAAAGTTGTAAATTTTATTTTGTAGTAGGGATTTTTTTTTCCAAAATATCATCATGAGTGTGTGTTTTGCAAATCTTTTTACCTATAGCATCATTCAAATAAATTACGGAATTAAATTTTTTTCCCTTACCTGTCCTGTATTCATTCGAAATTTTTCCATTTTATTGATCCGAACTTTTTAAAAAATAAATAACTTTTCTCCATTGATTCTGATGGTGAATAAAAAAAAAAATCTTTATGATCATAAAAAACGAAACGAACGAAAAATTTATTCAAAGAAAAAGCAAAAAAAAAANTTTTTTTTTTTTTTTTATAACACAACCAACAAGTTGTTGGGTAAATTATGTGTGTACCAGAATGAGAAAGAAAAAGATAAAGATAGTGGTGGTGGTGGTGGTTGTGTGTGTGGTTTGTATCTCTCTGTATATAAAATGCATTTTGTTATTAACAGAACAGGGCAATGGATTTTTTTTTTCCCAAATATTCCTATTGTGAAAGTGTGTGTTGTTAGGATGAAAATTTCGATTTTGAGCCGAGAAAAAAAGCTTAATTCTGCTTTGCTGAAATTCTCGTTGCTGTAGAAAGTTGTAAATTTTATTTTGTAGTAGGGATTTTTTTTTCCAAAATCAAAAATCAATGAATTTCATCATGGGTGTGTGTTTTGCAAATCTTTTTACCTATAGCATCATTCAAATAATTACGGAATTAAATTTTTTTTCCCTTACCTGTCCTAAACATTAGAAATTTTTCCATTTTATTGATCCGAACTTTTTAAAAAATAAATAAATTTTTTTCCATTGATTCTGATGGTGAATAAAAAAAATCTTTATGATCATAAAAAACGAAACGAACGAAAAATTTATTCAAAGAAAGCAATTGAAATTTTTTTCTAATTTTCGTTTCAAGTTTCCAACTTATAAAAAAAACACATTTACCATTTTTGAATAGGGGAAATACATTGCCCGCCGTCAAATAGCCACCACCAACACCATTATATACACACACATGTGTGGGGTCATCATGTCATGTCATGTCACACACACACAAAATGAATGAAAGATTCATTCGAAAATATAATAAACACGAGCAAAATTTTCATTTTCTTCCATTCAGTTTGTTCAATTCATTTTCTTTTAGTTTGTTTCCTTGCTTGCCTGCCTGTCTAATTCACAATTCAAAATTCACGCTTTTTATATATGTTTGTGTTATGTATTTAATGTGTATGTGGACGAAGCGATCTCAAGCTGGTTTCACAGATTTTTTTCTTTTCTTTTGAACTAAGAAGAATAAAGACCCTGACCAAATGAATGAAAATCTTAAATACACAGTGTGTGAGTGGGGGGTTGAATTTATTCTTTTCAGCAGAAAAAAAATAAAGATTTTAAAAGAAAATTTGTTGTTTCGAGGTCGGTCGGTTCATGGTTCAGGGTTCGGCTGTCGATCATCATCTTGAACAATAAAGTAGAGCAAAACAGTGAGGGGAGAAAAAATCATTCTGGATAAAAGAATTGTAACCATATTTTCATTGTAAATTGAAATGTGGATGTTATTTGAAAACAAAAAATTACTTATAACAAGGGTGGTGTAAAAAATTTTCCAAAAACATTTAAGATCGATCTGTAAATCGATTGATTGAAAATTGTCAAATACGGTTTAGCCCTTGTTTCTTTTATTTTTTCTGAAGAAAATTTCCGGGAAAAATTGTGAAAGAATTTATGAAAATTGAATCTTTTTGATGATTATGAGAAAAAAGGTGTGTTTCGAATGTCTGTTTTTTTTAATTAAAAGAAATTTTCGAACATCTTCAGGTAAAACTTAATGATTATGATGATAAGGTCAAAAACTTGAATTTAGAAGATGTAACGATGATTAGAAAAAGAAGAAAAATTGATTGATTGATTTTTATTTTTCTATGCCGTCTGAATTCTTCATATTAATAATCAATAATCTTTACGTTTATTCGGAATTTTTTCTCCAATAGAAAAACAAAAAAACAAAAATCGATATTCGAAAGTTCAATGGTCATCCAATGGTTGTTTTTTTTGGCTGATAACGATGACGATGACATAATGTGTGTACATGTTGTTCTCACTTATTTACATCAATGATGATGATGGGCTGCAGGTTTAAGATTTCTTAGTTAATGGTGATTAAAGATTTATTGGTGGTGGTGGTTTTGCAATCCTGATTTTTCAGATGAAATTAAAAATCCGGTTATCCGAAGTGTTAACCTTTTGGATTTTTTTTTTTCATTTCGGATTCAAAATAATCAAATTAAAATGTTAAAATTTCATTTTTTTTCTTCGTAATAAATTAGATTTAAATATTTTCGTTGGTTTCATTTTTCGTTTTTTCTTTCTGATATCTTCTCTTTCGCCAAAAAAACATAAGAAACGGGAATTGTGACATATTTACTGGGTTAAAAAAAATTTAAAATTTAAAAAAAAAATTGAACCAAAATTCAACAAAAGAAATGAAATTCTTTTCTTTTCTTCAATTCAATTCCCCGTTTCTTTTGTGTATTTTTTTTCTTTAAATTCAAATTCAAAACGAAGAAAAATTTTTTCTTTTGAATTTTAAAAATAAAGAAAGAAAATCATTTGATGAAGCGACATTTTTCTTTTTCCTAATCGTTTTTTGACACTTTATTTTGGATATCGATACATACGGATTGTGCCACCGTTCAATTTTTTTTTGTTGATCACCAGTTGGTTGGGGTGTCAAGCGTGTCAAATACGTGTTTCGGTGTGTGTGACCTATGTGTTTTTTATTCAGATGACCCACCGAAAGCAAAATAAAAAACTAACCCGAAAATAACCCGAAAAAATATTTCACACTATGTGTGAAATGGGGGGATATAGAGTGGGAAAAATAAACCATACTGATTTAAACAACCCATCCAAGGTCACATTGAAAAATTCAATTTTGATTTTCCTTTTTTGTTGTTATCTGACAACGAAAACGATCCAGAACGATTTGTTGTTGTTGTTGTTATGTGAAGTGAAAAAAATGATCCGTGTGACTTTTGAATGATTTGTTTGATCATCAAATCTATCTATTGTGTGTGTATGGGTATTTTTCGATATTCAATTATTTTTGAATTGATTTTTTTTTGCAAATTCAAAACGATACGAAATTTTTCTATTCCAAAAATCTTGAAATTTCATAATGATGAATCTAAGAAAAAACTGACAAATCTTAAGCATTTAGCGTTGAATTTTTTGTAATTAATTTCAACTTGATTGCATTTTTTTTATAATTAACAGATAACTTTTAATATAATGAAATGAGATTATTCTTTTTCACTTTTTTTGATAACATTATAATCATGGTTGTTGTTGTTTTTTCACCGAAAATAATAGACAAAAGGTGTGTCTAAATATAGAAGACATCGCTAAGGTCGAAGGTCAAATGATTTAGCTAAACACAAAACAACAACAACAAACATTATATTTTTTTGACCATCATTATCATCATGTAATTATGATAATGATGATGACCACAACCTTGTAATTTTTTTTTTAGTTATTCAGAAGAAAAAAAAACTAAAACTACTGATGCCATCTATGGATGAATAAAACGAAATTTGAATAAAGAATTTTTTATTTGAAAAAAAGCAAATAAAATCTTTGTGTTTTTTATTTTCGAAATTAAAATTAAAATTTTTATCTTTATTCAGGCAATCAATCAATCAAATACATCATTAATAATAAGTATAATAATATCATATATGTCTATAGTTGATTAGTCGGTTGAATTTGGGTGTTATTATATGAATTTCAAAATGAATAATTTTCTTGATAATGTTTTTTTTATTATTATTTTAGTGAAAAATCCGAATTTGATCTTTTTGTTTTTTGGTTGATTCGAGAAAAAAATGAAAAAGTGATATATATTTTTTTCCGTTTTTAGAGAGGCAACATTTTTTTGAATTCAAATCAAATCAAAATAATCTTCATCATTGTGTGTGTGTGTTTAAATGAGTATGGTTGATACAAATTTAAAATGGCAATCAATCAATCGATCAAACTCTATATTTTATCAATAAAAGGCATGAATTTTTGTTTCTGTTTTTAAAAAAATGGAAAAATTCACACAAAGTTTTTTATGTTTGATGATGATGATGATGATAAGAATAGTTTAGCTTTGAAACAAACAAACAAACAATCAAATAATTATGATATTGCATAATAATAATAAAAAATGAGATCTGGAAATATGATTTAAAGATAGACAAAGAGAATTGAATCGAAAATTTTTGAAAAAATTCACAGATAATTTTGTTGTTGAAAGAGAGAAAAAAAAATTCAGTGGAAATCGAAATAATTTATTGAATGAATAATAATAATGCTGAATTAACCAGCAACAACAATATTTGAAAGGGTTAAAATAGGATTTTTTTTCTTCTTTTTCGTTGTTTCCTGTTTATACATTACAAGTATATATGACGGTGGTGATGATGATGGTGATACATAGTGATGGCATCAATAATCCGGACGTTTGAATTGAATTTATTTATCTGATTGATTGATTGAAATATAATATAATATTGTGCGAGAATTAATATCAACGGTGTGTGTGTGTGTTTAATTAGGCCGATTTTTTCAAAAAATTCTGTTAAAATGAATGGCAGAAAATGAATCTAATTATCGTTATTCGTTATATTGAAAGTTTAGTTTAGTTAGAAAAATATAAAGTGATAAAGTAATTTAATTATAACTGGATAATCTTGAAAAAGCTGAAAGGCGTAGAACACTTTTGGGTTGAAAATTGTTTTGTTTTTGTTTATTTCTCGTTAGTTTGTCAATGGAAGATGGACGAAAAAATTTTGTTTGAATGAATACATTTTTGGATTGATTACTAATTGATTTTTGTTCAAAATATACATTCAAATTGTGAATCTAAAAACACCAGGGGAAAATCTTGTTGCTGATTTATCGAATATTACACATGTGTAATATGTCTGCAGACAAAACTTCTTTACATTTTCCTTCTTTTCTTCCTTGACCATTTTGTGTATCACAATTTTTGTTTTTGTTTTCCCTTCAAAAATCTTTTCCATCTTTGTTGTTGTTGTTTTTTTGAATAAGCACTTTTTTAAGGACAGAATTACTCTTTGATCCAAAAAATGTGTGTGAAAAAAAATCTATTCAATGTGTGTGGCTGGAATGTTTAATTTTCAATGAAAAAAAATATTGCAACAACCAAAGAAAAAAATCAAATAAAATGAACAATTAATTGAAGGTGATTTGAATTTTTATATCCAATAAAATCGATATTTGATTGATAAGTATTTTTGTTTCGTGTTACAAATGTGATTGAGCATAATTGAATATAGCAAAGGTGTGTGTATGTTGAAAACATTATGTCACAGATAAAATAACGAAAACGAAACAAGATTATAATAATAATGAGAAATATTATTTGATAATCATAGCTCATAAATGGTTTGCAAGTGTTGTCTTTTTGAGGGATTAATTTTTTTGGATATTGATATGAAATGAAGAAACAAAAGTGATTTGAATTTGTGTGTGTTAATGCAAATATTTTGTTGTTCCAAGATTTGTTATTTTTTGTTTGTTTGTTTGATAGCAGCCACGGCAGCATATAATGATGATAATTTGATGAGATTTATTGATCAAGATCATTTTTGGATTTGAATTTGATTAAATAAATTGACTGGAAAAAAACAGATAAAAACAAAAGCAGAAAAAAACAAGATTTTTTTTGAGATAAATCACTGATCATGATACAAGTGTGGTGTGTATTCTTATGTTTTTCTTTTAATTTAAAATTGAACACCGAGAAAGTGACACACAAAAGCAAACAAAGGTGAATTTAACATTACGGAATTTTCACAACCCGATATCGGGATTAGAGAACATTGATTATCGATTATCAATATTAGAATAATAACGCAGGCACACACACACACAACATGGAAAAGGATGTTTGATCTGTTTTTTTATTTATTCATTGTGTTTGAATGATTGATTGATTGATTGATGAATGAATGATGCATGAGCAAAGAATAAAGAAGAAGAGATATTTTAACGGTTTTTTTTTGAATTTCACTTTTACTAATAATAACAAATTTTGGATTGAAAAATTTGATTTAATTTTTTGTTTGTTTTTTTTTTGGAAAAAAATATAAAAACATTATTGGAAATTTTCTTTTTTGTTTAGACAAAACATGTTTTTTTAAGTAAAATTTGGCTGGCATATGTAATAAGTAGTGGCATAAATGATAAAAAAATGAAAACGAAAAAACAAAACGAAATGACAAAACAAAAAATTTGAATGTTGAATTTTTTAGGCAGGAAATTGGATTTTTGTTGTTTGAAAAACAGGGAAATCAAATACAAAAAAAATGAAAAAAAGAATGCTAATTTCATTGAGTATGTTTTGTTGTTGTTGTTGTTCCAACTGGAATTGTATTTTTGTTTTTGGATTAAGAACGAAAAAAAATTGAGAAAAAAGAGAAGATATCAAAAACAAAAAATTTTGATTGTTCAAATATAGTGTAGATGTTGGTGTGTGTGTGTGATGTGTATTTATCATCAGGGTAATGTGGTGGTGATCAGAGATAAAGTATTGTATCAATTATTTTGTTGATCAGCGTGTGTGTGTGTGTGTTACGTAATTTTGCATTGTTGAAATTCTTCTTGTTGATGAATGAATGATTCACACAAAGAAAAATGAAGAAAAAAAGAAAGAAAGAAAAAGATTATCACCCATTTAGATTAATTGAAAACGAACATAGAGATAAAGAGAGAGAATTTGAATTCAGGATTTAAAATCAATCAAATTAATAATATCCGGCATTTGATATTTTTTCACAAACGAACGACAACGATAAGTTCAGATCATATGCAGATCAGTGAGAGATAAAGAGAGAGAGAGAGAGAGAGAGAGAGAGAGAGAGAGAGAGAGAGAATTATTTGGCTAGCTGAGCACATAGAGAAGAATGTTGCAAATTTGAAAATGAGGGTATGTTGTGTGTGTGTATGTGAGAGAGATTTTTATCCATTCACGAGATAAAGATAATAAGAGAGATGATAAGATCAAGATCAAATTTGGCAATTTTGGCAAATGAAAAATAACAATTCTTGATTTGATTTGCATCCAATATGAATGATGATAATAAATGGTGTGTAGTGTTTTGATGGTTGACAAGATCGATAACAACAAAAAAAAGACCTGTGTTTTTTAAAGAAAAAAATTAATCATTAAGAATCAATCAAAAAAAAAATTTTGACTTACTTGAATGCATAAAATCATCAAATTTGACTTGTTTTGTTATTATTGAGATTATTATTAATAATTAGATAAAAGTTTGATTAAATATTTATAATTTATGTCTGTGTGTGTGTGTGTTCATGGAAATAAAATATGTTATTTTGACTGAGGACTTTTTTTAAAGAGAAGAATAAAATAATTCTCAAAGAAACACAATATTTATATGTTGAGATTGAAAGAAATAAAACAAGCAAAAAAAAATGAGACGAAGATAAAAATAAAACACAGAAAAATCATTCAAGAGCTAAAAAAAATAAATGAATCAATGAATAAAAATGATCGAGATTTTTGTTTGTTTGAATAGATATCATCATCATAACCATCAATTATCATTGGCTTTTTTTCAAATGTAGGCAATTAGGTGTGTGTGTTTGTGTTGTGGATATATATAAAATTAACAAAATACTTTACGCATATTCGCGTTACAAGAGAGGGTTATTTGTTGATATAAATGTTGTTCTGGTGGTGATCAATGATCAATGATGATGGTGGGGAAATAATATCCGAAATAATATATAGTCAAGAGAGAGAGTAAAGAAATAATAATAATATCGATATAAGTCATATTACGAAATAATGTTGATAATTAATAATAATAATAATAATAATGATTAATTAATGAGTGTTGTTGTTAGTGAATGACAAGATAATGCACGAGTGACGAAATATTATTATTCTTCCTTTCGAAAACATAGAGAGAAAAAAACAAGAATGTTGTTGTTTGAATAACACATTGTGCTGAAATTGAATTAAATTGGAAAAAAAATTGAAATTTTTTTGTTGATAATCATCATTTTTGTTTTTCTTCTTTATCTGAAAAAAATATAGGAAAGGAAACAAGTTTTTCGTTGTTGTTGTTATTATTATTTTCAGTTTGAGGTCAAATGTCTTGTTGTGGATTATTTCATCCATTGATGATGATGATCCAAAAAAACAATATAAAGACAACTTTGGAATCATGGAGATAATATCATTATCATTATTTATAGCAAATGGCGAAATTTCATTTGATTAGAATTGAATGATGAATGAATGAAATCGATATAAGGACGAATGAAAGAGCAATTCTTTGTGTTAATATTTAGGTTGTTTTTTGTTTGTTTGATACACATCACAATTGAAATTGAGAGAAAGAGCCAAAAAAAGGAATATTTTTTCGAAAAGCTTGATAATAATAATAATATGAAAAAATTGATACGATAAGATAATTGAATGAAAAATTGATTTCTTCGTTAGATCGATATGAAAATTCAATAATTGATTTGTGATTTGATTGAATAATTTTGGGATAAATTATGTCTAATTAAATTGATGCACGTTTAAATTAATTATTTTCACCGGCCAACAAATCGTTTGGCAAAAAATTTTGAATCGGTGTTTGACGATCATTAGATTGATTTGAAGTTAAACCACCAAATCCACCACCACCACCACCAGTACTCCAAAGACTGGCAGCAGCACCATTTGGACCTAATCCTAATGTTGAATTTGATTGACCAGTATTTCCCATATCATTCCATCGATTCATAATAGGATTGCCGGTAACAATAGGTGCCGTATTCCAGCCACCACCACCAACGATACTATGTTCGGCATTAAGCTTCGAATTACCATTATATTGATTCTGATGATGATGTTGATGATGGTGACCGAATGGAAGCGAATTAACGGGATTAGAATGAGAGGAATGAGTTGCACCACCAGCACCATAAGGCAAAGAATTTTGGTGATTGGTTTGTGATGAGGAAGCAGCAGCAGCATTATTGCCATATGATGATGATGATGTTTGGACACCACCACCACCACGTTGTTGTGCAGCTGCTGATACAGAATTTGATTGATATGACTGGATTTGTTGTTGTTGTTGTGGTATGCCACAACCAGCAGTTACCACTGTGTGACTAGCATTTGTTCCATTTGACCAGGTTGCAACTGAAGCAGCAAGAGAATTTGTTAATTGGTTATTAGTAGCTGTGGTGGTCACACCACCAATTGTCAAATATTGTTGAATTTCATTTTCAGTCGGAAAATCTGCTATTATTGTTGTATTGCCCAGAACACAATTGTTCAATGCTGATTGTGCTTTAAAAGCTTGATCACGATGTGAATATCGTACAATGGCTACGCCATGATTCAAAACCATATGGAATAAACTTAATGGACCATGTTGAAGACAAAGTGTTTTCAATGTAGAGCCATCAATCTGAAATTTTGTTTAAAAAACTTAATTATAGCTAAATGCTCTACATATTATTCAGTTCAAATTCAATTCAACCTGAGCGGTAAGATTACGCAAGCGTAAATATTCCGATGATCCAGATGATGATGATGATGGATTATTGGTAGTTGTGAGGCCAGAATTCCAAACATTTCCAGAATTTGTTGATCCAGGATTTTGTTGATTCATTTTGCCGGATAATCCAGGAGGAGGACGCGGTTTATTCGAATTATGTTGTCCACCGGATGCTGCTGTATGATTATCACCATCAGAAACATGATTACTCCATAATGAATCGGAATTCAAATTATATTCGGGAGCATTACTGTTTAGCCAACTTCCGGATTTTTTCTGTGGACCACCCATTTGTTGTGCAACGGGTTTATCACCCGAACCAAACATATTTTGTGATGCCGATGAAGGCATAGGAGGATTGTAAGCCCATGTATTACTGTGCTGTGATGGATTCGAAAATGCGCCACCAAACGAATCGGTTTGTGTATTGAGTAAGCCAGGTTTTTGATTTGCATTGCCCACAGGCGTTGATGAAGCCGATGACCACGAGAATGGATCCTTTTGACTAAATGTATTCAATAATGAATTAGGAGATCTTGAATCCAATGATACTGTGGTCATATCCATATCAACAGTAGATTTAGAACCAGCCTTCCATGGCTTGGTTTGATAATAGCCATCAAAACGTTCGGAAAAAGAATCCGTAACATCATAATCAACGATTCCACTCAATGGTGCAGCAAGTTCATTTGAACTTTTATCAGTTCCCCAAGTATCTTCTTCAGCATTGAATCCAGCCCAATTGTTTGAATTTAAAATATGTGAATTTTGTTTAGCCAAAGGTCCGGGAGCACGAACAAAATCGTTACTGTTTGAAGATCGATCATCCTGTTTATAAGGATTTTTCCATGTACCCAATTTACTACCACTAACGTGCGATGGATTCTGAACAAATGAATCAAAAGCCAAATCATTAGAATTGGGATTGCCAATAGAATTTTGTTTGTTGGTAAAAAAATCCGTAACATTTGGTGGTGTAGGAGCGGCAGCAGCAGCTGATGGCATTCCAAGAACACGTGGGCCGCCAGAATTATTATTAGGTGGCATCATCATAAATGGTGAAGTGCTTTGAGTAGAATTATGTCCTTGAATTTGATTCTGAAGTGTACAGATCATCTGCTTGATTTGTTGCATTTTATTCTGTGAAGCTGGATCACGTGATGGCTGTACAGTGCGCAATAATTTCAATTGAGACAACAATTCATTCAATATTTCCAGATTGTGCTGTGACATTGGTTGGTTGAGAATCTGAATGAAACAAAATAAAATAACAATTAATTTGATGGGTCCTATATATATGGTGAACCATACTGTCACATACCTGTGCATTAAGAAAACCAGCATTGATAGCCAAACGAATCAAATCAATCATTTGACGATTAGGTAATGATGAAATGTTAGAATTGTTAGTGTTTGTATTTTGGTTGATATTACCACCACCATTACCACCAGGACCGGAACCAGGAATGGCAGCAGCAGCTTGTTGTTGAGCATTGAATATATTCGAACGCATATTACGATTATCGTTGGTTAAGGCACATCGATTCATATCATCAGTTAGCTCTTCTGTGAAACATTTTTGAATATATAAAATATTTTCTCAAAACTTTCTATTTAAAACTTACTTAAAGCATCTTCAAAACGCATCTGATTATTTCGTAATGCGTTTTCAATATCGTCTTTCTGAAATGTGAAAAAAATGAATGAATTTTTTCAAGAATTACAATAAATTTGATCAATCAAATACCTTAAAGCCCATTGTTTGTAAAGTTTTAAAATGAGTACTTGAATAAATTTCACGAGATAATTTTTGGCTATTAATAAGACCACCATTACCACCAGCACAAACACCAGAAGATGGTCCAACTATTCGATTTTGTAGCAAAGAATTTTGTGCACTCCAATGACCAGTATCGATTGATGCTGATGGATCCATCCAATTTGATCCAACAGCAGCTGCAGGAGGAAGGCCAGAAATCGAACCAGCACCATTACCACCACCAGGCCCTGTTTTAGGATTATTTGGTTTATTGTTGATATCATTTGTAGGCCAAAGTAGACTAGAACTAGAAGGCGAATCAGCAAGCCATGATGATGATGATGATGTTTGGATGCCATTAATTTTGGCAGAAGGATCGACAATGACGGCAGTTGTTTCCATTGTTGTATTCCATAATGGTGATTTACGTTGTTGTTGTTGATTAGTATCCGATGAAGACCATGGTGTCGAACGATTTGTCATTTGTTGATTAGGTTTTTGTTGTTGTTGTTGCATCATTTGGTGATTATTATTGCCCATTACAATACCACCATTCGATGTGTTGCCAATAATACTACTACCGTTAGTTGGATTTACATTCATTGCTGTTCCTTTGTTCCATCCATTGTTGGAGCCATTTTTGTTATTATTGTTTGATATTGCTACGAATAAAGTCGAGATTCAAAAAATTAGACATTTTGAATCACAAGTTCATTTCTCTACTTACAATTATTGCCACCAAATTTTGTATCTTTCCAATTACAAATTGGCTGTTTTCCTTGACGAACAGTACTACCCCATAATGCAGTACCATCATCCATAAGTCTATTTTGAGAATCAATCGATTCTTTTTCCCAACCAGATTCTTTTTTACCGGCCGATGGATCCGAATTCCAAGTACCAAAACTATTATCGGGGGCAATTCGTTCCCAATTTGGTTCCGATTGTTGTGGTGGCTGTTGTTGTTGATGCTGTGGCTGCTGCTGCTGCTGTTCATTATCAAATGAACCCCATGGTTTACGTGGAACATTCTTTGTTGTTGAGTCAAAACTTTTTGTTGTTATTGTTTCATTTGTTTGATTCCAACCGGGATTTGAACCGGAATCGAATGCTGATGATGAATTGGTGTTTTGGCCGGGCAATATTGGTCCATTAGTTGGTGACCAATTAATACTTGAATGGCTAGCAGTACCATTTCCACCACCAACACCACTAGCAATAGGATTTGGTACCCAATGATTTGTTAGATCTGGTTCTTCATCACCCCAATTGCCGCCAATAGAAGGTACGCCTGATTGGCCCCATGGTGGTTGAATAGAAATGTTTGCTGATGATGATCCCGAATTGATTGGTGGAGCTGGACCATTCATTTGTGGTCCACCATGAATTACACCCGAACCATTAGGTTGAATACCATTATGATTATTGGCCATTGGTTGACCATTTCCATTACCATTGCCATTTCCACCATTAGAGCATTTTTTCTCTTTAACAACTGCTTCCCAAATTTCGGTTCCTGAGTTGACTGGACATCGCCATTGCGAATTGTCCTTTGGACTGGATGATTGCGGGGACGGAGGCAGATTCCAAGGAGAATCTTGATTTATCACCTTGATTTTAATTAAATTCAATCAAATTATATTGTATTCAATACAAAAAATAATAATAATAATCGATAAATACTTACAGGTGAACGCCATTTTTCAGTCAACAATGTTTCACGTATTTCATCACTCAAATTACCAATAACTTCTTGAATATTAGCAGTTGCTATGGCACGTTTACCACCAATATTATAATTATTATTATTATCATTCGATGATGAGTGATTATTATTCGAACTATTGTTTGCTGCTTGTTGTTGTTGAAATGCTGAATTTGAACCGGTGGTACAATTCTGGGAACTGGAATTATTATTATTGCTGCCATTATTATATAGCATGGCTACTGAGTACGACGATGATGATGCTGGTGAATCATGACTAAATTGATTATTTTGAGTGCCAGAAGATGATGAAACACTTGTTTGATTTGGTCCAGAAGATACAGAACTACCAATGTGATTGTTGGAATTATTGGCTAACGATGATGATGATGATTGATTATTAATCACATTATTATTGGTTGTTTGGTGGGAATTTTGATTGATTCCGCTGCTGTTGCTGCTGGATGATGATTGATTCTGATGATGATTATGATGACTACCAGAAGCTAAAAGACCTTTACCGGCAGCTTGTGCCCATGAGCTTGATAATTTTGGTGATGATGACAAGGCTTGTTGTTCGTTAATTGTAGTTGATGTTGCTATTGTTGTTGAGACGGAAGTTGAGACCAATGATCTGTTGGATTGTTGTTGTTGTCCACTATTGTTTTGCCAACAATTTGTTGTTGTTGACGAACCACTGTTATTAGTACTACCAATAGTAGACATGTTGGCATTGTTGTTATTTGATGAACTGTGTGGTTGATTATGATTGTTACCGGAAATATTATTATTATTATTGGCACCAATGGACGACGACGACGACAATGTTGTTGATGATGATGATGATGAATTTCCCCAATCAGCACCGGAATTCATCGGTGGCATCATACCCCAACCGGTATTTGATGTTAATGATGAATCACAATCACCACCACCACCACCACCGTTACCTAAAAGACTCATCTTTTGTGCAAAAAATTTTCAATAATATTGATAGGCGATAAGTCTTTTTTGTTTTGACAATGACTTTAAATGGTGTGAATGAAAATGATGAAGAATTGAGGACAATTGAATTAGGTGGTTTTTTTGATTCTTCTTTGAATAATAATAATGCAAATTAACAGCCAAAAAAAAATGAAAAACAAAAAAATCCAAATTCGTTTCGAATAATAAGATTATAAACGAAATATCATTATTATATAAATCGAGTAAAATAATAATTTAGCATTGATGATGATGATAATATCATTATAAGTGGACCAGGCATAATAAATGATGATAATTGATGATCAATCAATCAATCAATTCAAATTGATTTAACAAATTGAATTGCATAATAAAGCTAAGAACAAAACAAAAAAAAAATATGTAGATACCGATTATGTTGTATTAGATTGGTGGTGTTAATAGTGGTGGATATATTCACTTCACTTTATAATATTAGATAGATGATTGTTTGATTGATTGTGGAACATTTGAAATTCGGCAACAACAACAAAAAAAAAATCAATTCTTTCTTGGAATCTTCGAGAGGAAAAGAAAAAAGAAAAAACGTTGTTGACTTTTTTTTTGGGAAACAAAATGAAACAAAAATCAAAATAAAAAATAAAAGCATCAAAATATGAATTGTGTGTGTGTATGTGTTTATGTTAATGTATTTTTCTGTTGATATTTCGGTAGTAATCGATTTGAATATATAGTGAGCAACCAAAAAAACAAAAACAAAAACTCCAAATCTGATGATAAATAAAACACAATTTTTTTTGGACGTTTTTTTTGTGTTCTGTTCTTTTTTTTCCAAAAGAACATCAGTTGATTGTATTCGATTTATTCGTCTTTATTTTTGTTGTTGAAAAAATATTGATATCAATATTGAATTAGTTTGAGATCTGTATTTTTCAATGGGGGAAAAAATAGAAAAATTCTTATTAATAATTTTATAAATTCAAAGAAAAAAAAAATTCTGTTATTCTTTCAAACACAGAGTAACATCATGTATGAATAGACCGACAATCGTATTATCGAATCATCACATCGTTTAACATTCGAAACACAACACACACCTCTCTCTCTCTCAGGTACAAAACAAAATGAATTTTTGTGGATATTCAACAACAACAACAAAATTTACAAAAAAAAACTAGATTAATTCTGCAATAATAATTATTATTATAAAAATAAATCAGAGCTTTGTCTGGGTGTTGAGCTAATAAAAATAACAAAGATGATGATAAACAACAACAACAACAAAAAAAAAACATACCAAAAGAATCGAATAAATTTTTCATATTTCGAAAGAAAGTTTGTGTTTTAAACAAACAAACGAAGAAATGAAAGAATAAAATTATCATTAAAAAAAGTTGACTACATTTTTTTCAACACAAACGAAATCGAAATAAAATTATCACTTGGGTTTTTTTTTGAAAACAACAAACGAATGAAGAATCCTATAGTCATGATGATTTTCGGAATATTTTTTTATTTCTTCAAACCAAAATTGTTGTTATTTTTCATCAACAGAAATTTTTTTCAGCACAGAAAAAAGGACGAAAACGGCAGTAGCAATGACAACGACGAAGACGAAGACAACAAAATATTAACCAGAAAAAAATAAAGTTTTATTTTATTTTTCTGGTTAATAAAACCAAAATGCTGGCTTTATTTTCGCTGTTCATTCTATATCTGTGTTGTTTTTTTGGTGTTTTGGTTGTTGGATATTATTTTGGAGAAATGATAATAAAATGATAAATGGTGGAATGGTATTTGCTTACTTGGCTTTTGCGACGACAACGACGACGATGATAATATTGGCTGGAGCTAGAAGAAAATGTTTATGCTGTTGATGATGATGATGATGATCATTGGAAGATGTATCAGTCAGTCATTTTTTTTTTTGTATATGTTTATTAGCTCATCATCATCATCGTCAACAACAACATATCCAATATCAACGACGACATCAATGATGATGAAAATAAATAAAGTCTGCTGTATTGCTCTATTATCATCATCGGGTAAAAAAAAAGCTCAAAACAACAACAACAACAAAAAACCAAAAGAAGAAGAAAAATCACAATATCATATCATCATTTTTTTTGAAACACATCAAAAGAAACGAGAATGAAAAACAACCAAAAAATTGAGAGCAAAACCAACCAATACACAAAATATACATTCGAGTAGTCAGTGTGATAGTAGCAATGAAAATAGTTATTCAAAACAACAAAAAAAAAGAACAGCAGGAGTAATGAAAAAAAATGCGTCATTTTGTGTTATATCAACGAAAGAAAAAAAATGGTGCTTGCCTTAATACATATATGCCTTCTTGTTATATTGATGATATATCTAAATGGAGCCAGTGGTATAGTGGTAGTGGTCATTGGTTATACACGTACAAAAAAAACAAGCAGCCAGATTTTATGAAATAACAACTGCATATATAGGCCCCATATAAAACAAATGGAGTTTTTTTTTCATAATAACCAAACGTAATATAAATGGCTGACATTCGTTTTTTGGCTTTTATTCAAATTCAATTCAGTAACATTCGTTCGTATATATGTTGTTGAGATTCATCATACACACATATATACAAATTGAAAGACAAGTTTTTGTTGTTGTCGACGACGACTATCTTTCTATAACTCTTAAAGGATCTATGTGTGTATATTGGTGGATATATATGGCTGCTGCTGCACGGAACAGATAGAGATAGCAAAAAAAAACCTGCAAATGGTTCCATGGAACAACAAGATCATCATTAAATGGAAAAAAACAAAAACAAAAAAAATGAACATTAAAATGAAAATGCAGCGATCCATAATACGTCGGCGCGCATTCTTTTTTTTACGAGTTGTTTGTTGCGCTGTTCTTTACATTATTATTGTTGTTGTTGTCGTCGTTTGTACATTATCGAGACAGCGACAATGTACAAAAATAAAATAAAAAGAAGAGATGATGTTTTTATCCATTTGGATAATAATGATGATGATGATTTTCATTTGCAACTAAATAGGAATGATATTCGTTCAAAAAAAAAATCCTGAATATAAGAAGAAGAGAAACTCCTTACTCCAAGCCAGCGCTAAAATAAAAAGAGATAACAACACGTCTACAGTGAGCAGAAAATGCTCCTCGTCATCGTCATTTTCTATCTTTTTTTTAATGAGAAAAAAAAATTGTAACAAAATATGGCTGCTGCCAACAGTTGTTATTCTCTCTCTCTCTCTCTCTCTCTCTCTCTCTCTCTCTCTCTCTCTC